GATAATTTCAAAGGACTTATGATGAAAAATGCTATCCATTTCCAATGAAAGAACTGATGGATCTGAATGCAGATTGAAGCATATGTTTTTAACTGTATTTTTCTCATTTTTTAAAAACATAACTAATATGGCAATATATTTTACATGACTACACATGTATAACCTATATTAAATTGCTTGCCTTTTCAATGAGTAGGGAGGGGAGGGAAGGATGGAGAGAATTTGGAACTCAAAATTTTTTTAAAAAGAATGTTAAAAATTGTTTTTACTTGTAATTGGGGAGGGGGAATAAAATATTTAAAAAAACTCTTCTTGTTCCACTTGCAATCAGTGTTCCCTGGTCTATTAAGACTTCTCCTTCTCTAGAAATCCCATGATGAGAGGGATACCAAATCCTTGTGCCTTTTGAGGTCTCAGCTGAGAGACTGCTCCATTTTTTCCACAAGAGCTTTTTGGCTAATTCCATCTGTCCTCCTCCATTAGAAAGCAAAATATCTCTGAATAGTTCCACTCCTGGGTCCTACAACTCTTCCCTGGGAAGGAGCTGTCTATTCACCACTGGGTACTATCTTGGCAGCAGTGTGGAGGGTCTTAATACATTCCAGATTAGAAATAGAGGCTAAGATTTCATTGGTACAGGAAACCCCAGAATGAGGAAACTTCCTCCATGAATGTAGATGGACAGCTTTCTGTAACTTAAAGTCTTAGAAAGTTTCCTAGAGCACTGAAAGGTTAAGTAATTTGCCCAGGGTCACAAAGGGAGTATACTTCCAAGGTGAGATTTACACCAAAATCTTCCTGGCTCTGAGACTAGCTTTCTATCCACAACTGTTGAGGCCCATATGGCTGCACATTGTGTTGGGGCCCAGGCACTGCCACTACACCCTGCCCTGTACCAGGGTCCACAGGCCCTGCTCTTCTCCCCCTATACTAGAGCTTGGAGGTTATCTCCCTATTCTGGGGCCGACCTAAGCCACATTATGACTGGCTGAGTATTGGTGTAGATGCTATTACTGCCCCTGTGGTGAGACTCAGCATGTTCATCCCTACCCCTCTTCTAGCCTAACAATGCCCACTGTGCCAGGGTGGAGTGCTGTTTTATGCACTTCCATTGGCTGCACCCACAACAGCCTCAATAACCTCAGTAGTCTACACAAGTTCCTGATACATCATCCACCATACTAAGAATTTGAGATTCATAGAAAAGCAGAGCCAGCCCCTTAGCTCAAGAAACATTTTAATGAGGGAGACAATATGAAACTTATTTGGTACCCACAAGATATATAGAGAGAGCAGATGGAAGATAATTTCAGAGAAGATATCAGTAGTAATGGAGGCCTGGAAAGGCAAGCTTTGGAAGGTAGGGTCTGTTGTTCTTCGTCTTTTGTTTTCAAAGAGGACCAATGAAACCAGGAGGGTGATGCCTTGACTTGCTCATGAATTGGATTTAAGTGAGGCAGAGCTGTGAAAAGTTGAGCTGAGTCTGGAAGGAAGCCAGAGGAGTTTAAGAATCAAAACTGAGAAAGGAGAGCATTCTAGGCATGGGAGATAGCTACCACAAAGGTAAAAGGATGGATGTGTAAGGAATAGGAAGTGGGCCAGTATAACTAGGCTGAGGAGTGAGTATGTGGAAGGAAGAAGGAAGAAGAGGACTGGAAAGGTGGGATGCGAGCAGGTCATGAAGAGTTTAAATGCCAAACAAAGGACTTTATGTTTTACTCTAGCCCCAACATCTGTCCTTAGCTCTAGACCCATATCCCTGAAGGATATCCCTGCAAATCTCAAATTCAAAATATCCTGACCAGAATTTATATTCCTTCTCCCCAAACCGACCTGTTGATCTTTTGTCCTTATTCTTATCAATGATACTCTCTACTTTACCAGGCACTCAAGCTCAAAACTTCAATATTATCTTTTACTTTTTTTCCACTTTCTTCCCACATATAATTTCTCACCCAAGTTCTGTCATTCTTTCTCTACATTATCATTCAAATCCAATTCAATTCAGTTCAATTAAAAAGATTTTTTAAACCATATGGTGCACAGAGCACAATGGTAGGTTCTAGGGAAAAAATACAAAGTGTAGGTAGGATGTAGTCCCCACTTTCATAGAATTAATTTATAATCTAGTAGGAGGATATGATGCAAACCAAATACCCAAGAAAACATAATAGTCTGATAAATGTATTAGACATATTCTGTCATGCTGTCTCTCTCCTATTGCCTCTAAATGAGTATGAACAAGTCTTATAAGATTGCTTGTCTTTTTTTTCTCTTCCAAAATGATCCTTTAAAATAGGTGTTCTCAACTGTAGATCTCTTCAGAATAATATCTCAAATTACTGGAAGGAAATGCCCAATTTCAGTTAGAGATTAGTAGAAGCAAAGATGTAATTTTTTTCTATCCAAGTTTATAGAACCCCTGAAATCGCTCCACTTCACTATGGAACCCAAACACTTTTTATATCCAAATATACATGCACATTTTCAAATCTCCCTGTAAGGGTGGGGGTGGGGGTGGTTGATAAATTGTTTAATCTACTTAAATGTCAAGATTCCAATCCCTGATACCTTAAATAGGTGAGAACCCTTTTCTATAGAACCAATCCATCATAGGCTTTCAACCACTGTTTCCCAACTTTTGTTTCATAAATCCTTTCCAGTGACCACAAAAATGTGTTTTGGGCCTTCAGGGTAATTTAATATACTACTCATGATATTTTTTTAGATGTATTCATTAGTTAATGATAAAATTTGCCCCAAATTAAAATGTATGTAATATAATTATAATCATAATCATAAAATATAATGTTTTATTTTATCTGTAATTATGAAAACAAAATACAAAATTTGAAAACCAATTATAAAATAATTATGAATATTTTGTGGTACACTCTGTAATAATGAAAATATGTCATCCAGCAAGACTCATAGACTTACTTTTATTTGTAAGACTTCATATTAAATATCTTTAGTTTACAAAATTTGTTGGGCAGAAACATTTTTAATGAAATGAGTTACAACTTGGATGATGTTTAATGTAATATAACAATCGTATATAAACTTTACTTCAATATTGAATTTTTTTATTTGAATAAAGGTCGTCAGTATTTGATTCTACTGAGTCTTAAATCTGATTCTCATCCAGTTTCCATCTTTGATTTAAAATAAGAACTAAAAATGATTGCTCACACAAATGTGAGGTAGAAAATGGTGGAAGTTTATAAGCTGTCTTGCTGAGAAATGGAAATTTATTTTTTATTTTTAGTTACCTAACCAATCAATGAAAATAAAATTATGTAAAATATTTATTTTTCTTATTATCATGTTATCATGTAGAATATTTATTTTTCTACTGGCTAATGACAAGCATGTGTTAAATGATAAATATATGTAAAATATAACTGCATCTATTTTTTGTTTTTAACATTTATATATAAACCTTTGTAAAGAAAGAATCTCTTCAGATATGAAGTAGATACTGTTCTACTATTGGCATGTTGGCTACATTCTCACAGAAAGTCTACTAAATGACTGACCAGTGCTGCCAGCCAGTTCACTTATAGATCTGCCAGATAGAACAATATTAACATAAGCTAAGGATAAGTTTACATCAGAAAAGTCTTATTATTGCAAAGAGAGACAATATGAGGTTTGTTTCTGCAGAAGTTTTTTTTTTTGGTGCTCTATGATAGTTTCAAGATGGCTTGTAAGATATATGCCCAGCAATCAGTTTTCAAAAAGTCCGCCATTGGGACATTTGTGCTATAATAATGCAAATGTTTGTAAAATATCAATTAAATGATAACAGCTGATGAGGTACAAGCAATTCCAAGATCACGGAGGGGCATAAGGGAGTTTTCTGGTGCCGTGTACAAAATGCAAATGAAGGTATGCTTGTGCATTGAATGTCCATCTGTTGAGAATCCATTGGCTTGCTTTCAAATGATGAGACCTTGCCACAGTTTGGAATGAGAACTTTATTGAGAAATTTGATAAGAAAATGCAAGAGCACATTGGCTTAGAAAGAATGGTGCAAGTTTGCTATAATCTCTACACAAATACCAAAATCACAATCATCATGCACATTGTCGTGTTTTGAATCTCTGCAGAAACAAGCCTATGCTGCTTCAAACATGCAGGTGTTTATTGAACATTCTTGGGCAATTATTTACTGCTTAAGGTTCCATTAATTTTTTTTTTTTGCAAGAACCCCTTGGGCCATAATTTCAAACCCCTAAGAGGAACCATTACATGGTAACTACCACTTTAGACTGAGTGGGATTGGGGAGGAGGTCCATCAGCTTGTTGAATAGTCAGATTGCCTGAGGAAACTTGGTCACACCCTATGGGTTGCCTATAAAATATCAAGCCAGTTCTGGCTCAAGATTTTGAGTGTTTGACAATGGAGAAAAGAGACTATTTCAGTTAAAATCCTCAGAAGAAATCAACTGGGAGCTGGGAGGCAGGAAGGAAGATCAGAGCCCCAGGACCCAGTCTCAGCCTTCTATTTCTTCCTTAACCCAAGCCATTCCTTCTGCCTCTCTCTCCTCCCTGGTACCAGACATTGGAAGTCTTTTGGCCACGCACTGGCTTTATATTTTATGGACAACCCATAGGATGTGGCCAAGTTTCCTCAGCTAATCTGAACATACTTCCTATGTAATGCTGATCAAAGATTTTTCTCACTTAATCTAAAACTTATTGATTGCTTCAGTAGAGAAGTGTTCTTACCTAGCAGATCAGAGCTTAACATCTTCACACTTACCTCAATTAAGAGTCTAGAATGACTTGATTGATTTACTCAACCAGCACCTTAATTGGAAAAGTGACTGCCTTCACAGAATTCTTTCATCCCTCCAAAATTGCATAAAGAGTATGAGCAGGTCAGATGTAAGAACACAATTTCAGCACATAGAACACAACCAAGCATCAAAACAATTTATTTTTGACTTTCAGAACCAAATCATCTTGTTGCCAGAATGTTCATTTTTTTTGGGGGGGGTGGGGTATTTCAAGTTGTTGACTGCCTTAGAAAAAAAAAAGACCCTACCTAGTGTTAACGTGTGGCGATATTTCTCCTGCCTCTTCGGATGTATATTACAACTGCCAAGCTGAATGATATTATGAATAAAATAACACGGACAATGATGAAAAGCAAAATTACAAAAAGGATATAATCAGCGTCATCATTTTCAGGAGGACCACTGTCTTTGCTTCCACCATAACCCAATAGAGTACAAAATGGTGGGGCCCAGCCAAACTGACAATGACAATTCCTATTGTTGTTGCAAACACCTCTATAGTTACACTTTGAAGGGGTACAGTCAAAATTCAACTGAGCTATGGGAACACACATCCGATTTAAGCACATTGTGGTACTGGTACACTTTGACCCGTCCCACACCATTCCAAAATCTATCCACCCTGTCCCAAAGTGATAGTCGGTCCCAAAACAGAAATATTCCTTCTCGTCCTTCCTTACTGCTAATTGGTGAATTGTAGTATGCTCATCTAATTTTGGCACTATCTTCAGACCTTCACATTGCAGCCTTCCACATAAGACAGTTGATTGTCGACAAGGCACAGTAATATATTTTATTTCTTTCACCTTCTCTCCATTAGAATCAGTTTTCTTTTCAGGCTCAGCTCCACAGTTTCCAAATCTATCTCCTTTTATATTCAACTGTTCGTAGCAGGCCTTATCAGCATTTACAACTCCAGCAGGACCAAATGTTTCTCTGCATTGTATGTGTCGGTCAGTACAATTCCCTCTAAAGCAAATGGCATTTGGGGTGCATGGTGTTCCATCTTGAACATAGACATCCAGAGGGCAGAAGGCTCCAGTTCCATTGCAGAACTCTGGAAGATCACAGGTGTTCACTGCACGTCTGCAAAGTAGCCCCGTAGTACTAAAGTTACAATTATCACAGCATGCTCCGTAAGCACATGCAGAACCAGGGGTCAGCTCACACCTTGTGCTACAACATGGATCAGCAAGACATTCCTTAATTGAGCCACAGTCACACTGTTCCGTGTAGTCTATTTTCTTGTTACCACAAAGGCGAAATGCATAAGCATAATTATCATGGGTGTTTGGAAGTCTGTTTAAACATTGATCCCAGTAATTAACTAAATCAAAAAACTGCCCATAACTGCAATTACTGAGAGAATCAGAAAAAAGTGGTTGGTCCTCCATGAGACAATGTGACCTTCGGATGCAGTGACAGTAAACCTGATCATGAGGCAGGCCAAAGTTGTGACCTACATAATGTGCCAAGATCACTGAATAATAAAATACCCTATCATCCTGAAACCACAATAGTATTGCTGCCCAGTTGCCATTGCATATTGAGTTTGGAAAAGTAGCATAACCAGTTTCCCCTGCCTTGTTTCCAGTAACTAGGGCTGAAGTATCATGTGGAAAGCTGTTAGAGATCACTAAATTTTTCCATAATCCATAATGTTCTGCTATTTCAGATGAAGAACCTATTAGTGGTACTTTATCAGAATATTGCCAAAGATACAGAAAAACCAGGATTGTAAAAACTCGAAACTGCTTATAAATGGAATCAACTATATGAGTCAAAGTCACCATTTGGTCAATATGAATAGTAAGATTCCCGTTATGAGTATCCACTCTAGAACTGCTAACGCAAATTGCAATTTTTAAATAGCGGATATGTGGCCACCAGTGGCTAAACGGACCTGCCCTAGGAAGAATGCCAGTCTTTGAGTTGGAAAGCTGTTCATTCATTTCCTCATTGGTTACACTGCATCGAAAAAGACTCTGCCCAGCCTCCCCTTCTTCTGGCACCAGCTGGGATAATACATGTTCAAACTGGGAAGAACTGTGGAGAGGCTCGATTTCATAGGTGAAGTCATCCAAATGCAGAGTCCCTCGGAGACCCCCTTGGCAAGTGTTCAAGACTGCCATGGACGCGGGGATCCCTTCCAAGTAGCCATGGTAGTAACAGTCATTCGGGACATACGGATACTCCTCTTGGGGAGCTCCGTGCTCATCGTCCACCAGGATAGGGAGGTGTCTGGGCAACAGGAACTTCTTGACCCGCATATGGATCACGTACCTCTTGCCACCAAAGCGCAGCGAGTAGGAGAGCTGCCCGGGCACTTGAGCAAGGGCGCCGCTGAATCCTCGGAGGGCTCTCCGGCTGCTTAGCTGGCGGGGAATCACCACTTCGTAAGAGGAGAAGCGCCAGCCAGGACGGTGCTGTAGGCAGCCAGCCGGGTCCAGGAGCGTTAGCTGGAAGGCCAAGAGGAGCCCGGCCCTAGTCACAGGGGTGCCCATGAGAAGCCAGAAGCAAGAAGCAAGAGCAGGGGAAGGCTTGAGGAGCCTTGAAGACAAAGCCAGAGGTGGTTTAAGAAGACGCCTCCCGGGATACGCTGAGAGAGACAAGGCCAGTCAACTGATGACTGCCTCGTAATCCTTCTTCCTGGTTACTTACGCAACAATCCAGGGTCAAGGCTGGGCTGGCTACAGTGCGTGGTATGTATGTATGTATGTACGTACGTGTGTGTGTGTATGTGTGTACCAATGGAAAAAGGAGCGTTAGTGGTGACTTTGCCACATTGGGTTACTTACTGACTTGTGTACCTCTCAACTTATGTCATCTGCAAATTTAACGAGCATACCATCTGTGCCTTTAGACAAGGGTACAAATATTAAACAGCACAGGGACTTTATGTCACTAGGTACTCTCCTGGAGACTTCCTGACAAAGTTACGTTGAACCATTAGTGACGATTTTTGAGCCCAGCCATCCAGCTAATTCCAAATCCATCTGATTATATAATGGTTAAATCCATCTCTATCTTCTCCTCAAGAATAGCATGTAGCTTTGCTAAAATCTAGGTAAAAATATATCTATAGCATTTCCCTTATTAATTTAGTTAGTAATGCTGTAAAAAAAAGGGGGGTGGTGGTGGTAGTGATGGAAATGGAGTTAGTCTGTCAGGAGGACTTGTTCTTGACAAAGTCATGTGGTCCTTTGTAATTAACACTTTTCTATATAGTAGTTTGCCAATCATCTCTTTAATTATATATTCGAGGATGAGAGTTCTTAAGCTGGAGTCAGTGAACTTGTTTTTTCTTTTCTTTTTTTTTTTTAACATTTTGATAACTATTTCAATATAATTGGTTTCCTATGTATTTTATTTTAAGGTTTTAAAAATATTCTTCTGAAAAGGGGTCTGTCTCTAGGCTTCACCAGACTGCTGAAGAATTAGAGTTACAAACAGAATTAGGGTTAGGGTTAGCAGACACAGACAAATTTAAGAACCTCTGTTCTAGAATTTTCTCAGGAAACATGGTCCAGATCACAACCTGTAGTTTGTAGGTTCTTTTCCATTTCCTTTTTTAAAAAATCCATTTGCCCTTTTGCAAATTTAAGGGACCTCTTAAGGACTGCACTTGACATTCATTTAGGAATTTAAAAGTGAGGAAAGTCCCTCTACCAATGCCAATGATTAAATTTTTGAAGATACCAACCAGCAGATACCTTGTGTGCTGTATAGCACACAGGCTCTCCATTTGTTTTATCCCTTGTGCTGACTCAATGACCTCATCTACTTTTCTGATAGTTCATGTCTTGGACGGGGTTGCTTTTTATAGGTGGTCTCTTTTCATTATAATCTTGAATCTGAACCACTGGGTTAGGCTTGATACATTTTTCCAGTAGTTCAGGTTTGAGAAGTAATGGAATGAGACCTTTACAGACCATCTTAATGTTTAACTAAAAATTTTATATATATATATATATATATATGTATATATATATATATATATTTACTCAGTAATAACATGGAAATGATATTCTACAAGGGCATAGGATAGATTCAGTCGGCCGTACATAACTCCTCTGTCTCTGCATTTACCACCGTGGCCTATCTGGTCAGCAGCATATGTTAAAAATGAGGATTCCCCCTACCCTTTTTGTGCTAGGCTTATTTATGCTTAGGTGACCAGGAAGCTGTATCACTATTTTAAGCCTTAGTCTCTTGAACTAATTTAAGTCTCAAGGATAATTTTATTGCCTCTTAGGGTAAAACTAGCTTAGACTGTACAGGACATCCCCTAACCTAGAGAATTCCTGCTTCTTCCCCCTCCCCCCATCCCACCAACTGCTACATGTTACTCTGGCCACAAGCATTCCTTATATACGTGCCCCTCTATTCATGTTTTCTAGTTCCCTGCCTGTGTCCCTTCCCCTGTTTTGTGATGTGGTAACCTATAAGAAGGAATGAATGGGGCCCTTTCTTATAATTTATTTTGTTATGCTGTCTGATTCAATGTATTTTGTTTAAACTAATGTATTTTCCAGTTGGTCTAGTTAAAAAAAAAAAGGCAGTGGGAGTTTGTTTCATGAGACATTCTAGTGTCAATGACCATTAACCTTCTTGGATCTGGTGGGAGCTCTGAATAAATATTATTTTGAAAAAGGATAGAAGAGTAAAATGGTAGCTGTTTCTATGAGTGATAGGGTTTAGCAGCCTCCATCACATAAATCTTCCTGGCCACCTATGCTGCTAATCCTCAAATGACCTTCTCTGAGCAACTGAGTATTCTGACTGGGATTTCCTTTTACTTATGGTGACCAGGTGCGATCCCGCTGTCTCTGTGCTTCACAGTTCATACCTGCTGAAGAGAAACCCCTATTCCCTCTATTTCTCTCTCATTAGGGTTACAAACTTTTTTGTGTGTGTAGGGGTAGAAGTTGATTGAGTAAATCAATCAAGTCATTGCCCACCTCCATTTATTTGAAGTGTAATGATGTAACACCAGCTCTGGCTTGCCCAATCACTTCCTACCCCTCAAATTGCTTTCTACTTCTCTAAGGAAAGTGGCGTCCCTCCCAAGATCTCCAGGGCAAGGTGTCTCAGCATAAAGAAGAGCAGTAGAGCATACCTCCTAAGAAATGAAATTACACATTGTACCTGTTAAAAAAGAAAATGGTATACTTTACCTACTCCTGGCAGGATTTGCTAAGAGTAATAATGCTCAGCAGTTTGCCCTGGGGACATCTACATTACAGTCTGATCATGGCCAATGGATTCTGGTTTTGACCTTGCCTGATAATCTCAAGGCATGAATCCAGAAAGCCCCAAGGGTATTAGAATGTGTCTAGAAGGTGTGTGTGACTATTACTCTTTCCCTTACTAAAAGTGTGTGGGGAAAATACTTAATTTTAAAAAATTAATATTATTTGAACCTGGCTTTATGTGGTAAAAGTTGTCTAATTTAAGCTTAGCATAGAAGTCAGGCTGACCTCAAAGACAATCCAGGGAAGCCAGATGGCTGCAAAGAATGCTTAAATCCCACCCAGATCTTGGGTTCACTCCAAACACTCGCGACCAGAGAAATTCATGTGTAGCAATAGTGGAATGGGGGACCCAAATGTTTAGGTCTGCTCACCAAGGTCTAGTTTGGGGCCCACCCAAAACTTGTGTTTTGGGCTTCCCAATAGCTTGTGTTTTGGCTTTGCCCCAATTTTATTGAATATTTTCACTTACAAAATGTTTGTCACCTGTATTGCAATTGCAAAGATGTGTGATTTCAACAGTATGGGTTTTCCCTCCACTGGTATAGATCTATCTGTACCTCCTCTGCAACTTAACAGGGAGTTGTGGTGGACTGGTTGAAAAATTTATCACCTTATACGTGTTTTTGCGATTAGCCTCTTCCAAATTCATTGAGTTGTCAACAGACAGACTTCCCTTTTTTTTTTTCTTTCACTCAGAGCTTTTACTCTGCTAGCATACCCTGGCCTTTGAGAAGGAAGGAAAAATGCATTTATTAAGCACCAACTATGTGCCAGGCACTTTTTAAAAAATGACTTCATTTGATCCTCACAACCACCTGATGAGTCAGGTGCTTCAGAATCGAAGAAACTCAAGCAGAGGGGAAATGACTTGCCTGAAGTCACACAGATTGTAAGTGTGTGAGACCAGGTTTGAACCTGGCTTTCCTGACTCTTGGCCCAGCGCGTGACCCACTGCATCATCTAGCTGCCTCTAAAACTTCGTCCCAAATGGGACATGATGAAATATCAACTAAGGATGTTCGTGGAAAGCTACAACTCATGGACTAATTTAAACTGAAACAGAGGTGATTAGTTTTGATTTTTTCCTGAGGTGGAGTAAACTTTAAAATTAGAGAATTATAGAGACATATTTTAGAGTAGGGAAGAGTCTTGTATGTCACATAGGCCAAACTCTAAACTAATGCATGAAACCCCTTTTCAATGGTCTGATGAACTATTGTTATTCTCCATCTTAAAATATATCTCTGTCTCTATCTCTACCTATATATATGTTACACATACACAACACACACACATATATACATAGATGTGTGTATGTATATATACATATATGTATGTCTATGTGTGTGTGTGTATGTGTGTGTGTGTATGGGAGAGAGAGAGAGAGAGAGAGAGAGAGAGAGAGAGAGAGAGAGAGAGAGAGAGGAGAGAGCATCTAAGAACACAGAGAAGTAAATAGCTTAGTGTTCAGTCAATAGAGTACTAGGCTTGGAGTCAGGAAGACCTGTGTTCAAATCTAGCCTTGGACACTCACTAGCTCTGTCACACTGTGCAAATCACTTAACTTCTACTTGCCTCAGTTTCCTGAACTATAAAATGAGGGGATTGGGCTTAAGGCTTTCTAGGGTTTAACCTAAATCTAAAGGGGGCATCTAGGTGGTGCAGTGGATAGAACACCGGCCCTGAAGTCAGGAGGACCTGAGTTCAAATCTGGCATCAGACCAAACACTTCACATTTACTAGCTGTGTGACCCTGGGCAAATCACTTAACCCCGATCGCCTAAAAAAAAAATCTGTGATCCTATAGCCCTAGGATACATAGGACAGAAAAAATAATTTGTTCATTAGATCATTGTTCAATGGTTCTGAGTTATGTCTATTCATCCTTATTCCACCATTGAGTGGAGGACTGGACATACTCTAAAGTCAGTGGAAACTGCAAGAGGAGCAAGGTTTGGAAACAAGGGGAAAACAGTCTCTTCAGGATATCAGCAGGTGAATAGCCTATGCAAACTAATGGGGTTGTGAGCATTTATTGGATGAAACTAAACTCACCCCAGCCTTTAAAAGTTTGCAAGTAGCTAAGGGATGCAATAAGTGTTGGATCCTGCAAGAACTGGGCTATTCACATGGGAAATGTTGAACTTAGTAGCTAAAAGAGTACTGTAACTAAAAGGGCTGAAGAAAGAAAAACAACAAAGGGTGAATTGTCTGTAGGCTTAATAGTCAGACCTAATAGCACCTGTGCCTGTAGACCAACTGAGTTTAGCAAATTAAGACATTTCCTGGTCTAATGTGACATCCTGTCATTTGCTTAGTATTGAATTGATGTAATATGTTCGTGTTCATATTTAATATATCCATATGTTCTGGTCCTTGGCTTTCCCTAGCTCCCTCTTGGACCTTGCTGTGATTCCTGATTTTAACCATTTCCCATTTAGACACTGAATCTTATCTATAGTTTCTCTGATACTTTTTTGCCCAAGGACTTCTGGGCTAAAACTCCACTCATCTTTTCTTAAACTAGGGATGACTACTTTATCCTGTCCCATGTAGCTCCCTCTAAGTCTTTTTTTTTATTTGTCCATCCAGTTTATTGTTTGCTGCCTGAGAAA